TACAGCTCCACAGAAACTACCGCCCAAGGACGCTGTTCATCGTATGGATGTTAACAATCCGTACGCTTCCGATGGGATGTTTCATCCTCACGGACCCGGCGCTGAACACAAGGCTGCGCGTTCGCCCAGCGTGCCGCAGGTAGAGCCCAGCGCCCTCCACACCTCACCCACCCCAAGGGACCGTCCCCTGAGGGCGGCTGCGTCTCCTCCCCGCGGCGCCCGGGCGGGCTTCAGCTATTCGCAAGCCCTCAACACGGCAGCGCCGCGTTGCGTGTTCGAGCTGGCCGGGACACCCCGCGGGGAAAGGGAAGGGAACCGTGCCCCGCGCGGTGTCAGCGCCACCTGCGGGATGGGCTTTCCGCCCCCTCGCCGTGCCCCGAGACGGTCCCACCGCCGCGGCAGGCGGAAGCCGCGCTGAGGAAAGGGGGGAAACCAAACCGAAGCCAAACCCAAACCGAACCATCAACACGCGGCTACAAACTCCTTCTGTGAAGGACACCAGAGACCTCCAGAGAGGACACGGGAAGGTCGGACTTTGCACTCCAAGACTGCACTTGCAACGAATATTCACTTACCGCAGGACAGCACGGGAACGTGTCTGCATGTCTGTGTGTGTGAGTGTCTGTGTGTCTCTCTATAATATATATGAAAGGAAAAACCCATCAAAGGGAGGGTAATAGCTCTTATATTATCTCTGTTGCTTTGCGGTTTAACTTAAGAAGTTTGTTTTCAAATAACCAGTACCAATTTACACGTTAGTAAAAACGTATTTAAAATATGTATATAGAAATATCTAATTTAAAATAGGAACAAAAATTGTTGTTGTGTGAGATGCTCCCTGCAGACTTGCCTGTCTCAGCTTGCAGCTAAGGATTTAAAAAAAAAAAAGAAAAAAAAAAATAAAGGAGGAAAGAGGGGAAAATAAGTAAATCTGCAAATGAAACGTACGTACCTGGGAACTGATAGCTGTAACTTGGGGCAAATCCAGGATATCCTCGGCCGTACGTTGCAACAAAATTCGGGTAACCTTGATCACAGAAAAGTAAAAATAAAAATAAAACAATAAAAAAATAAATAAAAGAGAGAGACAGAGAAGTTTGAAGATTAATAAAGGCTTTTTGTTTTTAAACACAATGCAAAATGACACAGAGGATGGGCGAGACTTGATTTTACAGCAGGTCTTAAACCCCGAGATTTATTCTGCTCATGCAAAACTGCAGAAAGGTTTCATTATTATCTTGAACAGAAACATCTAGAGCTGGCCGGCTCTCCTGCTCGCTTGCCTGTCTGCCTTTGTGCGTGAGACCTGTCACTCAGGTAATTAACATGCACTTTGGTATGTGAAGTCCAAGGACTGTGCATACTTGTTAGCTGGAAGAGTAAATGCCAAATGCTAAGGCTAAACACATAACACAGGTTTGCTCTGACATTTGGAGAGCTTACAATGAATGTACTTTGCTTCAGAGCTATTGACAGTTGGAGATTAAGGTAGTAGTAATTCTTTATCCCGGGAGTGTGAAGGACAACAGTTAACACATCAAAGAGCGAGAGGCAGCAACAGCAACGAGCCAGAGAGTCAAAGAGCTTTTAATTTTTCCGGAAAGTAAAACCCAGCTCTGAGAACTGCTTCCTAAAGCAATTCCTGAGATACGTGCAGAAACTCATCCAACCTTTTGAAGTTTTATTAGGAGAAAAATACCACTCCGGATCACTTTGCTAATAGAGATGCCCCGGCAAATGCAGTGCGTGGCGGCTCTGCCCGCTCCCCGCCGCGGCGGGTGTCAGCAGAGGGCAGAGCCCGCGGAGGGCGGTGGGTGCGGGAGGTCCCCCCGCGGTGTCTGAGGGACAGAGGTACCGCCCCGCGGGTGCTCGGCGGAGGCTCTCACGGCGTTACCCGGGGCATGCCTCGCCAGCACCGCGGTGGCTGACTCCGACACCCCGGCCAGCCGAGAGGGCCTTCACGCTCCAGGCAGCAGGAGGTTTCACACACTGTGACCCCCCGTGTTTTAACACAGCGGTCCTCTCTGGTCCCACCACCGATGTTTTGCTCCGACCGGTATGGCCGATGCCACAAGCTGTCCTGTACAGTGAGGAGATTCCCTACAATTGCATCCTTGCTCCCAATCCTCAGCGTTTCCTTGCTCGGTTTTCTTAAAAACAGGATCACCCTCTGCAATTCCAGTGCAATAAATGCTGCGTAACGTTCCCGCTGACTGTCAGCGTCAGCCCAGACTCCTCCGGTTTCCAGGAAAGACCTCTCCAGACCAACAAACCATCACAAGAAGTTTGCTCTCGCTCTGTCTGAAGCCAGTGGAAATCTCGGCAGCGAACAGCAGCAGCTGGGCTGGACCCCGAGCGCAGGTTCCGCAGCCGAATGCTTCTTCTGGGGGTCCCCTATCTCTGCGTTTATTTATTCTTTAATATACTCATACACCGTACAGCTATTTTTCTGCCGCAGCAAGTCCCTCCATTTCTAATTAGATTTATATATACATATAACGTACTATTAATCATAATCTAAAACTAGAAGATAAAAATGCTTGGATGAATTTTGATTATGGGATTAAGCAGTGCCAGGGGAAAGCAGCCCTGTGACGCCTGGACAGCACGCTGCGGCTTTCAGCGATGTGTACACACTGCTTAGCCCTCGCGTATTTATTTCACAGCTCAACAGCTGGATTCCCTGAGAAATTAATCACCTCTGTCATTAAATCAGATCTTTCAGAGTTAAGCTTTACAAACCTTTTTTCCTTTTTTTTTTTTTAAACAACAATATTGATAAATGGATTGTTTGCTAAGTAAGTAGTGCCATTAACACCACCGCAAGCTCTACCATGAAAAATCGCTCTGCGGCGCCCGACCACAGCCCCTCTGCTCGCCAACTGGAAAAATCAAGTTTTATTCTGACTCAAATGACTCTGAAGCAGACCCGTCAGGTCGCGACTGTCGGGGCCGCGGGGGACCGCCGTGCCGGGCAGTGCCTAAGGTCTGCCCTGGGGAGCGGGGGCTGCAGGTGAGGTCCCCGTGGCCCCGGCTGGACCGGCACGGCCGTGGATGGCAGCTGCCCGAGGTGTTTCTGGAGTTGTCCGAGTGGTGGAGGATGCCACCTATTCCGCTGCCCTGCCCTGGGATGCTCTGCGGGACTGGGGATGCTCCTGTCCCGGTGCATTGGCCCCCGGATGCAGGGCAGCACGCAGCACGGCAGCAGCCCCGCTCTCCTCGGCCGAGCCCGGCGCTGCCCGACGGTGGCGGCACCGGCAGAGCTGCCTGGGGGCTCTCGCTGCACCGCCAGTGCTCAACGCTCTCTAGGTCAGGCAGATGAAATCATAAATTTATAATACAACATTACTTCAATTTTCCTCTTCATTTACTGCTGCAGTGCCCAGCTCTGCTCTAACGAGTCAAAGCCCGATGCGCGTGGGGGAAATTGCCTGGCTGAATATCAATAGCGCATTAACACCATGCCCATGTGGATGCTTCATCAAGCCAAATTATGGCCATGCTGACCTACCCACCATTTCCATTAGATGCCATTCTCATCCTGCATTGGGCACCGCACAGTTTATTTGCTTCAGCAGTCCTGGGGCATGATCAATGTCTAATTATTCCTTGTTGCTAAACCAAAAATCCAAGTTGTGCCTGGATTACCTCCTCCGAAGCGAGACCCTCCTGTCCATGGAAGCAAAACTCACACCAACAACCGAAACTGCTTTCACACCACCACTCCTGTCTCTGACGCGAAGAGCAGCAGGTCCGGTGCACCCATGCTTCAGCTGGTTGAACTTCCAGCCCCTGTGCTGGAGCCTTGCAGAGCTCCATCCTGCAGTGGGCCGGATCCTGCCCTGCGCTGGGTGCTCTCCGGGCAGGGCGGCGTGCGAGGCGAGAGCGATGGCTGCTGGAAGCACCACGCTGACCACCCGACGGTCATGCTCAACCGGCTGTCGCACTCTTTGCGGTGCCAACACTCGATGTGGCGATGGAGTCTGTTACCACTGCGGCGTGCGAGCAACCGCTCGGTGCAAAGACGGTCTCCCAGGGGAAAGCAAAGGCTCCGCTTCCAGGATGGAAACAGCTGCAAAGAGGTAATGCTGCCCTTCTGCCTCCCAGTGTACCCGAGGGCATCATGGCCTTCCTGGTGGTAAAGCCAACGCTGGTGGG